CACGGTGACTAGCCTATCAAAAAATGGTTTTGTATTTCAGTGGAAAGAGTTCACTGAAAAGGCACCTTCTAAAATGAGCTTGGATGAGTCTACATGGTATATAAACACAAAGTACATCAATCATCAGAATGAAGCAAGAAGCCAACCAATAGAACCAGCCAAGTGAAGCTATAAACAAGCCTGTAAAAGCAGGCCTGTGGTGCACAGCAAAAGAATTGAAGGCGGTCCAAGGTCCTGCTCAACCAACTGGATTTGGCCCTTGGGGTCACTCTTTTTTTAAAATATTGTGATTTGGGTGAAAGTTTACAAAGCAAATTCACTTTCCATACAGCGGCTCACATACACGTTGTCTCACGACATTGACTACAATTTACCCCAATGCAACAGCTCCCCTCCCACTTCCTCCCAGTAGTTACCTCTTCCCTGTGTCCATCCTTGGGGTCACTCTTGACTCAATCTTGACTTCCCCCTCCTTCCTTCCTTTCACCCTCCCTCCCTTCCCTTTTCCTTCCGTCTTTTCTCCCTGTTCCTCTTCTTCTTACTCCCCACCACCACACCGCTGCCACTATCTGTGAGTGGAATTGCTGCATCCTAAGAAGCCCTGGTGGTGCAGTGGTTAAGCTTTCAACTGCTAACTGAAAGGTCAGTAGTTCAATCCTACCAACTGCTCCATGGAAGAAAGGTGAGGCGGTCTGCTTCCATAAAGATTACAGCCTTAGAAACCCTACAAGGCAATGTGCAGTGCAGTGAATTACCTAACATGGCCCTTCTAACCATGGTCTTTGTGACTCCCCTCAGATGACTGGGTGGGACTATGCACATGGGAGGTGCTTGTGGCCCATCCAGGGGATTGGATAGCTTGCTAATAATGTAAATAAGGTTCATGGCACCCTTCTGGGTGTGGTGTTGTTGCTGTTGTTAGGTGCCGTTGAGTGTTATAACTCATTGTGACCTTGTGCACAACAGAAGAAAACACCGTCCAGTCCTGTGCCAGCCTCACAATCTTTGCTGTGCTTGAGCCCATCATTGCAGCCGGTGTCAATCCATCTTGTTGAGGGTCTTCCCCCTTTTTGCTGACCCTCTACGAAGCATGATACTTTCTTCAGGGACTCATCCCTTCTGACAACATGACCACAGTATGTGAGACAAAATCTGGCCATTCTCACTTCTAAGGAACGTTCTGGCTGTACTTCCAAGACAGATTTGTTTGTTCTTCTGGCAATCCATAGTATTTTCAGTATTTTTTGCCAACACTACAATTCAAAGGCATTAACTCTTCTCCAGTCTTCCTTATGCATTGTCCAGCTTTCACATGCATATGAGATAATTGAAAATACCATGGCTTGGATCAGGTGATTGCCGCTTCCACGAGCACTGATTGTGAATCCAACTAAAATGAAATCTCTGACAATGTCAATCTTTTCTCCATTTATCTTATTGTTGCTTATTGATCCAGTTGTGAGATATGACATCAGCAATGATATCTCTCACTCCATGCCCTCTTCTGAATCTAGCTTGAATTTCTGGCAGTTCCCTGTCAATATACTGATGCAACCATTTTT